AGTATCTTCATCACCTCTGTCTCCTCTACATTCATTTGAAGGAGGTACCGTCTTCGCTACCTCGCCTCTTCTGTCAACTTGTTAGTTTTCGCCTGTACATCTCCGAGTTCGTGTGACATTAGACTTAAATTATCATCGTTGGCGAAATCGTCTAGGGTCTTTTCATCGGTCCAGCCACCGTATGCTCATCTTCTCGCTCATCACAGCTTGCTGCATGATCCAGTCGACCACAATCAGGAAGATCATCGGTGATAGTAGGCGGCAACCTTGTCTTACCCCTTCCTGTCTTCACTTCAAAGGCATTACTGAACCCTCCGTTGTGATTCACTTGACATGTGGCGTCTTCATGTTGTCGCTGAATGTTGTTGATAGAGTTTTGTGGCACTAAAACCAGCGTTGAGGCGGTTTCAAGATTACTTCCCGGTGGTGCTGTTGAAGACCTTTTCAAAATCGATTAAGTTGAGGTCGAGTTGAATTCCATTCCGTTCTGTGTTTTATGTTGATCTGTGGCGTTGCAAGCTGATCCGCGCATGATTTTTAATCCCCGAATCCAAACTGTTCCGGTTGCAATCTTGGGTCCAGTGCATCCTTTAGTCTCTTCAGGGAGATGCGTTATAATATTTTGCTTACTTCGGGTGGACGGCAGCATATTTCCTCGCCAGCTGTTGCAAAGGCTTAGGTCTCCCTTCTTTGAAAGTTTGACAATGTAGCCCTTCTTTCAGTTAATCGAGAGGTACCTTTCCTTCCTTCCAAACCTTTTGTACTAGTGTTGTGAGCATGTCCGCTGTTGTCTCTGCTTCCGTTCTCAATGCTTCTGGCGGAAGTCCACCTGGTGGTGTCGCTTTCCTGGCTTTCAGTACCTTTATGGCGTTCAGGGATACACTTCGGCTTTCGTCGGATGACTAGTGTTTACTAGTAAGCCTGCGGCCGGGCTGCTGGTGGTATTTCTGGACGAGTTGTAGTTGGTGGTGGCGGCGCCCAATTAAAGGGTTTTTTGAAGTGGCCAGTCCATCGTTTGCTTTGTTTCTCCTCTTTGGTGGCGACTAAGTTTCCTTCACTACCTTTCATTGGTCTCGTCTGAGTTGATCTCTTCCTGGATAGTAGCCTGGTTATTTTATATAGTGTTGTCAGGTCTCTGTCTCTTTTACCTGCAGCCCGCTCTGCTTCACTTGCCAGTGTGTCGTAGAAGTGTCTTTTGTCTTTGGGGGCACTCTTCACTTCTTTGTCCAGTGTAGTGTTTTATAGGTTGTGCTCAGTTCCTCTTTTCGTTGTTCATCCCTGCACTGCACTGCACTGGTTCATCTTCTGTTTCACCATCTTCCTCTCCCTCCTCTATCAGCTCCCTTGTGTCCGTCGAGATCCATTCCTTCTCCAGTTTTTTTCTTTATTCCTATTACGGTTATGCGGGTTTCTTTCAGAGAGTTCCAGCGTTCTTCCACGGAGGTTTCTTCAGTGATGTTGCTTAATGTCTGCCATTTTGTTCTGATGACTGACTGACTTGAAGATGTCCTTTGAAGTTTCTTCCTGCAGTTAGTTTCTGTTCTGGGTGTTGAACCTGGACTGTGGTCTATCATCACCAACTTCTTTGAAGGCTTTCAACCTGGTTTGGAAGGAAGGTTCCCTGGACTAGATAGTGAGTGATGTGAACCTACATCTGCTCCCCTTCCTGATCTGATCTTGTGTCCAGTAGGTTGTGTCTCCTCTTTCTTGAGATTGCAATGAAGTCGATGTGATTTTTAGTGCGTCTGGTATCTGGTGAAATCAACTGCATGTTGCTGCTTTGTGAATATCCTTGTATTTGTACCCAGTGCCTCCAATCACCAAATCGTTGGATGCGCAGAAGTCTGCAAAGAGTCCCTCATTCTCGTTCACTTCACTGAGTGCCTGTCGACCAATGATCAGTTCTCTTTTTGTGTCGTCAGCTCACAGCTTGGCATTCGTCAGATTTTTGATGTCACCATCTGGGTGGGTTTTCGCCATTACTGACTGCAGTTATCTGTAGAATTCCTCTCTTGATTTGGGTTATTTGTGGGCGTATATCGCAGCATTGTATGATTGTGACTTCCCCTCCTTTTGGTTTGAATCTTGCTGTTATGATCCTGATCCTACAGGAGAAGGTTGGTTCCCATTGCATGAGAGCCACTGATGCTGTTGAAAGCACCATGATGGCCACTCGAAAACTCAATGTGCTCGTGGTCGTAGTCTGTGTGACAGTATCGGATTTGGTTATTGACGCTGCAGTTAAACATTTGGGCAGTACACTTCCATTTCATCTGCTCTCGCAGATGCCTACCACTTCTATGCTATACCCTCTCATCTCCTTTGTAACCTAGGGGCCTCGGTAGGTTCATACATGATGCAGGCATTCCGCTTCTTTATGCTTACTTTCACTTTGATCGTGAGAGAGAAGACCTGTCAGCATACTTGCTTCCTGAAGGCTTTTACCAGTTGGCGTCATTTCGTCTCATCGATTCCAGCGAGAGACAAGTTTATTTTACTTCTTATATTTTCTTTGTGCTTTGTAGTTTGTCTATCCATTGGACTGGTTTTCTAATGTAGGGTTGCTAGGCCTATGCCCATCCTTCTCTCTTTATCCACGCTTGGGACTGGCTAGTAACTAGGGAACTAGCTACCTAAGTGAGGTTAAATTTTTCAAAAACCTGCAATTACATTTGAATTACAATATTTCATCGGTACTGTTCTCAAGTGTTACCGTATCCATCCTCAACTAACTCTTACGCAATCGTGCAACCTGTGACGAGCGTTCTTACGGCACCACATGAAGATACTTTCATGGAGCCCCTCGAATTTATTCATCCAGTGTTTCAGTGAGTCGTGCATTCACTGCACTGTTTTACTTCAATTAGTTAAACAGCATCATTCTGTCCGCCACTAGGCGTGATGTGAAGCATTATGGCGGCTGCGTTGGGAATATGTTCAGTTAAGCACGAACAAACAAAAATAGATAGTTTCATCGGGCAGATGACATATTATGACTATTATTTTTTTATTGTCTGTACAGCATATCCTGACATTTCAATGAACCTGTAGATACTTGTCAATTGAAAAACACTAAATCCTCTATGGCACTTCCCCTAACATATTTTATCCTTCAAATTAAGGCACTTGAGTAATTTGCCCAGTATTACTTTTTTGAGAAAGAGCTTGCTGTTTCGTTTCACCTTCTTTTTGAGTGATGCTTTTACATCTCCATTAAACATGGCCTTCATTTCGGTCAGATAACCTAAAAGCATGACAAAACTTCAACCACTAACCGAAAGTACACTACCTGTATGCGATGTAAATCTTTTTTCAGACTGGGGAGTTCCACTGCCCGGGATGAAACAGCTGGTAAGCAATCATTACCAGAGATTTTCTGCCACCTATGTTATCATCGTATCCGTAGGATCCATACGCACCTGTCACTTCAAGAATGAATTATTATTACCATCAGTGATGGTGATCACGGCTCGCGATCAAGAAGTAAGATGAACCGGGGTGACAAGCCATGCATAATCGAAACCTAGGAATCCGTGCCAACTGGACGTGACAACATTATCCTTGAGCACGTGTCGAGGAAGACTTTCGGTTACTAATTCCTCCACAGTTCTAGCTAGACACAACCGGTATACTATTTAAACGTCCATGGTTGTTGAGTTTAGTCTTCAGACCAGATTCATATCAGGACCCACATTTTTAAAGAAATGTGAAACCGTTCCCCAGGTGACTGCGCCCCTGGAAAACCTGAAGGTTTGAATGGTCTCATGTGCGTAAGCACACGTAAACCCATTTATGCTAGTAAGTTTCATTTTAAGGGGGAAGAATTGATCGTTGATTTTAATTAAAGCGGAATTCTCGCTGGAGATGGTTGATGGTATACGGCTAGTAGCAAACATGTCACTGAATGGCTAACTTACATCTTCCGACTTGAGGGAGAAAAAGAATCTTCTGCCTTGGCCGATTCTAACGCTCCCTAGAAATTCTACGGGAGTGCGTACTTTGGAACACCCAGGCAGTTTAATGATCTCACCACTTTTGACTAACACCCCCTGATATTGAAGAATGGAATTAATGATACCAAGAGGAGATCTGAGCTCCTCAATTACCTTGATGCTTAAGGTAATTTGTTGAGATCTTGTGCGGTTTTCAATGAACTTCCCGAAGCATGAAAGGCTTACTGGATTCAGGCCATTTTCATTTTCGCAGAGAGACCATGGTATCACGGCAAAAGTGGAAATTGGGGCACAGCATATTTAATGCTAGCTTTTCACCGGCCCTGGTAAAGTAACACTTCTATCAACCACTCCTAATCAATAATCAAGCTACATCCCAGCATGTCTTGTGACTACTTTTGTAGTCTGGTTGTGAGACATTAGAGGTAACTCATTAGAAGAAGAAAGCATTGATGCTCGCTATACCATTTTGTGGTCACTAGCTAGGGACTCGGGCTTGACATAGGTGGAGAGAGGGCAAATACCTTGGCGTTACATCAGGTCAAGTGCATTTTCATCTCTAGCCAGAGTGGTGACAAATTATAGTAATAATACATGTATTTCGTACAACATAGGCTACACGAATACAAACCAGTTTACAGGTTTGATCATTTCGGCAATAAGAAATGGTTATTATGTACGATGTTGAGCTATGCATTAGATACGAAAACTGCTCATACTTTTACAGCAGCTACTAATATTTCACCGACTATATTAGTTACAGGGTCCGATAACAACCCGTTTGTTTTCACCTCGGCATCAGTTGTTGCAAATCCTGTGTATACAAGATCGTCAGATATAGATCTTGGCCATGCCGAAGATGTGCTAACATCTGGGATGTGTTTTGTTTTCCCTGGTAGCAATGCACGGTCGTTTGGTGGACCGAATCAGTCGAAAGAAAGCGGTTTTAGCGTGAATAACCCCGAATTGGAAATTTACTCAATAAATAACCAATCGCATCAGATTTTATCATCTGGATCACCTCTCACGTAAACGTCTGTTACTTCTATGGCACGAGTTCCTGTTTGTACTGGTGGTATTAGTGGATCCAAAGAAAATGTGGCCATATCATCAAGCTTACTACCATCACTTCCTACTCAGCAAGTTACACGTTCAGTTTCGGTCGTACAGCAGGCCATCATTTCCCGTGTTTTTATGACCCCGAACACTATATGTCCAATCACGACTCCTGCCGCTAAACCCATAATATCTGCTTCTCCTTCGAATCTTGGTCCAATTTCTGCTCGACGGCGTCCTACTATTTTAAAACGAACCCCAGGAACAAGTAGTTTCGCATCTTCCAACTCGTTGGTCACATGTTTTCCAGCTGTCCCTGAAACGTCGGAAAGTGGTGGTGATTTATCAGCGTCGCCTTCTGACGTGCAATTGGTGTATGTAACCCCGTACTTCTTCATAACGACAGAAACCTATCGGCCTGACAACCACTGAAGAGTCAGGATCTTCCAGCAATTTGAGTAATGCAACCACCAAGTTATCACAATTAGGTACCACACCATCAACTCTTTCAGAACGCCTAAATCGGAATCAAACTGTCAGTGATCGTTTGTTTGGTAGGCATCCTATTGCGTATAACAGAAATACGTCACAAACTCCTGTAACATCATCAACCCCGACCCCAAATTCAGTAACAACTTATCAAAGTTCAGCGTTAACAAATACAACTACCAATGCTACAACTCCCTATTGCCCGAGGTTCTGCTGACGGAAAGCAGTATGCCCCAATAAGCAATCTGCTGTTAGTTGAGCGAACGGTTCATGAAAAACCGGTTGTCACAGTGACGACATCTGTAAATGATGCACCCTTGAGCCCGCCTACGTTTCAATATCCCTTACGGGTGAAAACTGCAGCTCTGAACAACTTTTCGCCCTCGAATCATGCGTGTCACGAGCCTTTAAAATGGAAATCAGTGGTGCACTCTTGATTTGGACGAACTCAGAGGGGCATTCTATGGCTAGAAGTAGTTGGCAGATCAGAACGAGTTACAACTATGGCCGCTACATAACTGACTCATTCCAGTTATACTTTTGTCCATCACTGAAAGTCATGTTTTTCAAGTTAGTCACTCTGTAATTGCCATTCACTGTTTCATAACCTTCTAGGCAAAGTAACCCACTTTTATCGACCATCTTGAACATCCTAGTCGCTTATTGAATCGGTCGTCTTACCTCTTTTAACCGTTTGCTTTTAATCCTAACTATGTCTGAATATACCCACTCGTCATACCCTCTCCATTATTTACAACATGTCATTTGCGCTAGAAAGATTGGTGCATATGTACATGTATCCACACGTATGAAGACAAGTGAACTTATTTTTCATATCTACCTGAATCCAATCTTGTATAATGTATAACCTGATCTTTTTGTAACTCAAATTGCGCCTTCATTCTCTGCTCAGTCGTTTTCATGTATGTATATGTTTTCCAACTTATTTTTCATGTCTGAAAATTTTCCTCAACTAAGTGATAATTTCCGTTTTTCACTCAAGAGAAGTATAGCTTTGTACTGAATGAAACATATTAATGATTGTTAACGACTGTTGTGAACTGTTATATAAGTTATATTAATTTGTGATATAAAACGATCACTTAAGATGAAAAAAACTAACTCTGAGTAAATCTAGTGTACTATCTTATTATATCTGTTATCATACCTGCAATAGCTTGTATACGTGTCCCACTGAATCCCTGGTAAATTAAAGTCCGTGCATGTGTTGTTTTGACAAACTGAAGCAAAGATGCCTTTTTAAGTGCTTCAGGGAGTAAGGATTCACTTCCAGATGAAATTCTGGATGCTATACATACGGCTTACCGATACCCTGATATATGTTTAGCGTGCTGTGGTGCATGGCAACCCATGATCCTATTGAGCGCTGCATTTTCTGACCGGAAGACATTTAGCGTATTTAGGGAGCATAGTAAGCAGCCACCTCCTCTTTTTGATCCGGTCGCATTTGTTGCGTTTATACGTTAATACATCTTGTTTGGTATACAAAAGTGGCACCGAGATTTTGTGATTATCACCATGGGCAGCCTGAAAAGGAGTGACATGCGTCTAAGTATTTACCCGACTTGCCTTAAAGTAGACCTTATAGCCATGTGGACGAGATGGGAACAGCAAGGGGGATTAAAATTGTTCTCCTAGTCAAATAAGTGTGTACGGCTCAGTGATAATACCGCATTCGGTGACGGCACCAGTTTCAGTAGCCAGAGATTAAGATGATTCTGGAGCGAAACGGAGGAGATCGGATAAGTTATTAAATTCCTCATAGAAGCTTGAAAGTATGGAGGAGAAGAGTGCGTTTTCGGGAGAGTTGTATGCAACGACAAAGGAGTCAAAGAAGCTGTTCTGTGATCTATGCTGTAACAAATTAGCACACTGGAGATGAGTTACGCGTGTACGGTAGGTATCGTTGGAAGACATGCTGTTCTGACATAAATTATTCATTCCCGCTGTTAAAAATGGTGAATGGGTGGTGGATTTAGCCGAAAAAGCCATGTTGACCGGAGAAGCACTATTTAACCTAGCAATAGTCGGTGCTGCTCAGGAAGCCGGGTCGGAGTGGTGCTAGTCCCACATAACATCATAATTCCATAATTCCATCTATTGGCTCGACTGTCAGTTCTGCATCTCATGGGACTGTGTATCAGACATTTAAATAAATATCCTTATCCTCAAGGTATGAAGTTAACATGAGAGAAGCCAGTTTACAGGCCTCATCTAATTGATAATTGTGGAGGAACATAGAAGGTTTTTGCAGTATTGAATGATACAGAGGGAGGACATTAAACTCTGTCATGATACCAAGTGTCTAAATGTTATGAAAATAGCAGGAAAATGTCACTTTACAGTACATACACTTCGTTCTGAGTTCAGGTCATTTCTGTACACAATTCTTTATTCCCATCAAGTGGCTCAATATTTGGTGTTTGCGTTGTGAGTAGGCGACATGATTGAGCTATCTACAAGACCAAGTGTTTCTTCAGATAAACGTCTATTTAAACAGCAATTCTTGTTTGTAGATTTATTGACCCATAATAACTTGCTTCAATGGTTTCAGGAATAAGTGAGTATACATAAAATCATTTAATCGAGGTGAATGTCTAAGTTCAGGCGTTAACGCCTGAGTGAAAAATTTCTCACTTTTCAAGTGTTACCTTTTCTAGCGATTCAGATTGGTAGTACTGAAACATTTGTTGTAGTGCAAGTAATTAAAGAGTGGAGGAATTGTCGTTCAACAGTGGTGAATAATACACATGTGTAAAACTTCATAGACTTCACATTAAAGTATGCAACATTGTCAAGGAGATACATTGGCTGTCAATTGACTTCTATTAGATGGACTGATGCAAGGCAAAGTACTAGATAAATCCGTTGCATAGCATTATTATGGATGTGTTGCCGTTAGTTAAAGTGGTCTCTTGGGTCGGATTGTTTATCCAGATTTGTGACGGACCAGAAATCTGAGACCAGTTATTGTGCTTGGGGTTTCATGGGGTGGTGGCATTTGGGGTACTGGTAGGGAGGTGAGTTGGTCGTTAAGCTGTTCAAGAAACAGGAAAATCGGGGCGAGTCAGTTGGATACCTCTAACATCAGTTTCCAGTATTAGGTGCGAAGTAGGATCTCCAGTAAGTTGATCGAACTAATGCTTAGGACTTTCTCGTCAGGCTGATACTGAAAAGAGAAGAGAAAAGAAGGCGCAAGGAGAAACTGGACAATGGAATACCACGTAAAACAAACTGGGAGGAGAGAAGTTCTTGTCTTTTTAAAGTCATTGGAACTATATGTAAACTTTAATTTATCCATATGAGAATGAATCTTCCTTCTTTTTATTACATGAAGTTCACACGAGTTATTAGGTAGGCAGTTTTTGTTGGTGAACTTAAAGGAAACACTGGTTATATATTTGTACTGCAGAATCCCACCAGGTGGACTAGTAATCAAACACCCTCTAGGAGTCCATTGAGGTAAAAAGTACTTGAGATTTATGATAGCTTTACTCTATACGTTTAGAGGTCCTAGTTTGCTTTCATTAGCCCAGAACGTATAGATATTTCCTAGGCGAGTGGTAGACCGATCATCTGTTAGGAGCTTATTAAGTGCAGGACGAAAGGTAGATAATGTGCCTGCGGTACGTGTTTCCTCAGAAAGTCCATTCCAGATGTGAGAGAACTTATTGATTAGGAAGTTTCTTTGCAGTTTGGTCTTACAACACGCATTTTCCACTAATAGGTTGTGATTACGTAAATAGTGAGTAGATGTTACAACTATTTTAATTTTGGGCCACATGAGTGCACTTGCTTGCGAAGTAATTTATAGTAAAATATAAGGTTCATTCTAAGTCGCCTCTTCCAGAGAGGTTCCAGTCCTAGCATGTTGCATCTCAAGATGTAGACTGGGCTGCAGTCAGCTCCTAGTGTTCTTAGTGTAAAGTGGCGTTGTACTCCTCCAATTTTTTCTTTTGTCGCTTATACGAAGGCCACTTAAGATAAACGGGCAGTACTCTAAAATTGGGCGGATGCTCACTTTGTAGAGTAGGACCCTTGATTCAGTGCTATAGAAGTTACGGAAGATGCATCCAAGGAGTCTACGTGACTTAGATGTGATACAAGCCGTCTTCTCAGAGAATGTTAAGTCACTGGGGTATCTAAGACCAAGATCTAGCAATGAAGAATGTCTAGGTAGCTTTTGCCCACATACTTCGAGAGACATATCTAGGTTATCGCTGCCTATGCTAAGCCAACCACATTTATCAGTGTTGAACTGGAGATGGGACTCGTCACACCATTTAGCAACTTCACCTAATTCTTGTCGAGCAGTAGATAGCGTATTACCTAGTTCATGGGTGTAACATGGGTATATAACCTTAAGGTCATCAGCGTATAGGAATGTTTCCCCTACAGTGAAGCACTTGCACACACTATTAATATAAGTTATGAACAACAAAGGTCCAAGGACACTGCCCTGCATTACTCCACTAGTTATGAGCCTAGGTTTAGTCTGCATGGAATTTACTTTGACGATTATGCTCCGATCACTAAGAAATGATTTTAGCCAATGAAGTAAAGGGTCATGGATGCCAATCGATTGTAGCTTATCAGAGAGAATACTGTGTGGCACCTTGTCAAATGCCTTCGGCATATCAAGGTACAGAAGAAGGACGATTTTACGTGCCTTATGGCTACTGGTGATAAGGTTGAAGAAGTCGAAATGGCAAGTAACGCAAGACCTGTTTTTAATGAGACCGTGCTGAGACTTTGTGATGAGGTTTTCTCTAAGTAGGTAATGAGACATGCCGCTTCTAATCAGTTTTTCCATAATTCGGGAGACGACTGGCATTATGTTGATAGGTCTGTAGTTCTCAACATTCGCTTTGTCACCGGCCTTGTAGCGAGGAATTATAAAGCTAGTTTTCCACTCACTAGGATACTTTTCACTTTACATTGATAGTGTGAATATCTTAAGCAAGAACAGCGGCATATCACCACCACTGTTTCTGATGACTATTGAGCTTAGGCCATCTAACCGCGTACCTGTCGATAGTTTCAGGTTTTTGATAGCCTCAGTAATACCTTTGACAGTGAACTCCACTCTAGTACATGAACTAGCGGTAATTGAGTAAAGCTAGTGGAGTTGGGGCATTAGGGTTGAAATTAGCGAATGATTCGCTAAACAGTTCACTAATCTTGAGAGGATCGTTG